TGCTTCCTGGGGCAGCGCAGCTGCAGCTGAAAAGCTGACAATCTGCAGCTGCGCCAAACAGACCCTAAGTTTTTCTACCTTGAAGTAATCATTAGTAACTTCTATTCGGAGGATGTTCATTGGAATACTCAGTCTTGACAAATCTTCTCTACATCCACTGCCCTCTGAATGATCCCCATCTAAATTGTTCGGCCTTTAGATTGATCGGCCTTTGAGTCAGCCGGTCCTTACGACTGTCGTCCTCTAGCCGGTCGGTCAAATGTCTTCCATGTGATTCTCGTTTTTCAGCCTTATTGCATTAGACACTGCTATTTCACTTGAATGGGATTGATCTGTTGACACATGTCCATCTTCGGATTGTTCGATTTAGCCGAGTGTACTTTCACTATACAATGTATCTTCTATGTATATATGTATAGTCATCCCAGCTTCTTCTAATTAAAATCAAGTTAACACTAAGAGACTAAATATTAAAAATATAATAATTCATCCACCAACAATGATATATTTATCATTTAACTCATAGAAGATACATCAAGTGTTTAACAACCATGCTTACAACATAGAAGGTAGATACTAGATAGTAACAAATATTACACGTTACTACAATTCATATTACTCACACAAGTTGACAATTATATAGCCATGATGACTCTAACGATACAAGATACATCAAGTATATGACAAATAATGCAGAGCAACATTTAAGATTTTGAATTGCAGAATACATTGCTCTGCTTTAATTGGTATTGAAACCAGCTCATCATTATCCATACATTTCAGCATTTCCTATATGGCTCCATTAGCAATTTCGGTGGATCATTTATAACAAATTCGCTGGATATGACCCTGCAGTTCACCATGGTTAACAATTACATAGCTTTAAAAGGCATAACTCAACTAAAAAGATAACAGCAGTGCATTATTAAGACTTCATTAAGATTAAAACAACTTAATTGAAGAACTAAATCAAGCTTAATTTAAGAAATCAAAACTGATGAAAGCATTGAAGTGGTACCAAGTCACTAAAGTTGCAACATTTCAAAACCAATAGCAGTTATAGAAAAAATTACAAGGGCACCTGGTTTGCCTCATAAGCTGAAGAAATTTGAGATAGATGGCATTGAGTGGAGTGCTCTGAACTGGTAACAAGCCACTAAAAAACTGTTGCAGCATTTCAGAAGATATTTCCCGTGAAGCATAAGAGATTATTTTCTGTCCTGGCTTCCACTGTGTGATTACGTTATCCTTCGATACGCAAAAAACAGACATATAAATGGACTGGACACAGTGAGAAACAGGGTCAAGAGTACTCATACAAAAAAAGTATTAGGACTTCAATCACTGTCATGACCCCGGACTATACACATGACAGTCAGTGATTGAAGTCCTGATATATATATATACATCAGGACTCTTGATGTAATATTTTCTCCAATATTACAGGCCATTTGAATCAATTTTAGCTAATCAAATTGACAAAATTAACCGGTCTTGCATTTCAATACAAATTTATAGACTACTGCGAGAGCACCTGTTTTGGAAGGGCGTAGGTTTGGGGTGGCTGAAACATAAATTCTGAAATTTGGATGAGCAACGCATTATATTGAAAGTTTCGAGTGGCAGGTATGTAAAAATTCCATTAAAATTTTTATTTTTAATGAGTGTTAATATAAATCAACCATCAAAATATTAAATATAATATTTTAACTATATAAATTTTAAATATATATATATATA